TTTGTATGCAACAACAAACTTGCCTAGCAGTAGAAATTATAAAATAATTTTACACAGTTACAGTTCAACCTTCAGGGCAGTGACTTGAAATTCGCACTGCAATGAAATTTTAGGACATTGGCCTAAAGTTTAAACTGCAAGAACTGAAGTTCAAAATATAGGTCTCTGTTGCTTTTTTGGAATTGTGACTATGTTTTAAATACATTGCAATGCTGGCTATGCTTTTAAATAACAGTCCTAAGAGCCTGTTTGGCCAAGCTTCTAGGAGGCCAAAAGTATTTTTTTTGGTCAAAAAAGTACTTTTTGAAAAATTTAAGGTGTTTGGCCAAAATGAAAAAGTACTTCTTAGCAGCAGCAGAAGCAGTTTTTCTGCTTTTGGGGAGAAGCTACAAATTCTAGCTTCTTCCAAAAAGCAAAAGCAGAAGCGGAAAGTTAATTTATTCACGACAAAAATAACCTTACAATAAATTTATATTTTTCAAATTATCCCTCATTAATTTAATTTTTCTTTTTCTTTTCCTTTTTTTTTCTGCTATACATTTATTCTCTTTTTTATTTTAATCAAATTTTTATTCTCTTTCTCTTATTCTTAAGAGTAGATTTTAAATTTATATCGAATGTTGTATTTTGACATATTTAAACTATCATGTAAATAGTAAGTAATACCAAACACTCAATATTATTGCTTTGGAATAACTATATTTTATATTAATTAGAATTTTTAATTTATATTTTTCAATCTTTCTAGTCTTTGCAATCTCAACATCTAAGTCAAAGCCTTCCCGACCTACTTCCATTAATGTTTCGAGGCGAGTGTTCAAAAAAGCCCAGCTAACATCAACATCGACTTTATCTTCAAGGGCCTCATAGTCTTTTTCCCATTGCTCAACCTTAGCTCTTAATTCATCCTTCTCATTCAGGGAAGCATCATAAGAAGCCTGTAGGGGGGCAAGAGATCTCTCTAAATATTTAACCTTGTCTGAAGATACACGAAGATCTTCTTCAGTCTGTGTGAGCATTCGAACAAGCTCCCCAGAGTAAGCTTCTTTTTGGTTTAGCAAATCCTTTAAGCTCCTAATTTCTTCAGAAGCCTGGGAAAGCTGTTCAGCAAATGAAGACTCAAGAAGATTCTTATTTTTGCCCACCTGATTAGATGAGGCTTTCTCAACCGCTAATTTCGTTGCCATAACCTTTACTTGATGCTCTAAGGTACACTTTTCGTCCTCTAAAGCCTCCATTTCTAGTTGAATACCCTAGAACTGCTCTTTCTAATTGTCTGCCTCAGTGTGATAATCATTCATCAACTGCTCCGTGTGGACAATCCTTTTCATCATCTCCGTACCGATGAGATTGATCTACACAATAAAATGAGAAATGTGATACTAGTAAAAGAGAAATCACGTAAAATAAAAAGACAAGGTTTATACCTTTAAAGATGAATGCACAATATTATTCACCCACGTTAGAGAGCTGTGACTTTCCAGTTTAGACTTCTCAACCGGGCCAATCAGTGGTTTCAACCATACGTCAGCTTGGCCTAATTTCTTCAAAAGATTACCATCTGCAGGAATCTCGATGGTAACTTGTTTCATCGCCCTACTGCTACTAGAGAAACCAATTTTAGCATGGAAAGTTGTGGCAGTAGGAATAGTCGAGGAAGTCAAAATAGCCACGGGCGGAGCAGTGGCAGCAGCAGCAGGTACGGGCAACTGATATTCAATTGGAGCAGACGCAGGAAAAGAGGCAAGAGGCGTTTCCTCATAAATAAAGCCAAAGTTTTCTTCATCAAATCCACGAGAAAAGAGTTTTTCAGTAGAGTCACGGGGTGTTGCAGGCGTCTCTTCATCAGAACTCACTAAGGTAGCACTCTCAGGCTCGAGCATGGGAACAGAACTAGGAGGGGGGTAGCTTCGTCATCTAAAATGACCCGTCTCCTAGCTCGCGGCTTACGAACTAACGAGCCTTCGTCCCGTTCCTCTTCATCTTCAGAGCTACGTGGTCTATCAACTTTTATTTTTGATGAGGAACTCAAGATTATCTCTTGATCCTTTGATAGAGAGAGCCTCGAAGCAGTGATTGATGCAGCACTCACACCCCGAATGGGAAACCCTAATAAAGAAAAGGGTTAATAAGTTCCAAGATAAACATGAAAATAAGGAAGAAAGTGAAAGAGAAAGTTACCGTGAGTTTTCACTTTCCATCCAAATCTATTTGAAAGATATTTCCATGACCTTTCTTCCACTGGAGCAACTGCTAACAATTTTTCTATCCAATCACGGAAATCAGATATTTCCTCAACAAATCCCATGGTTGCTGAAAAAGAAAAGCAAAACAGTTACGAGAGTACAAGTTCTTCACAAAAGAAAAGATTGGAAGAGAAACTTACGTGCAAAGTTCCACTTCTCAGGGAAGAGCATGTTTTCTCACCTACTAACTCGCTTGTAGGAGCATCAACAAATCGGGCGTACCAGCCACGATCTTTGTCGTCTTCGGGGCTAACCAAAACCTTCTTACTTCTCGCCACGAGAGTAAAAACCCCATGACGGAATAATTTGGGACAATAAAGATGAATCGGATGATAAAAGGGGAAGGGTAAAATCGCCAGATTTGACAAGTATCTAAGGCATGCCACAACCCTCCATACAATAGGACCAATCTGTCCTAAGCGTACATCAAAGAAACGAAAAAACTCAATAATAACTGGATCAATTGGTGGCCTAAAACCTAATGTGAAGGGATATGTATACACAAAAGAAAAATCAGCTTTAAAGGTAGTGATCCTTTGATTCTCATTGGGGACCAGAATCGGGAAGTCAAATTTCCAGTAGCAATCTCTACGCACAATAGAAAATAAACCCTCAGTGATCTGGGAAGGGTAAAAATCAGCACGATCGCGAGAAGTCATGGAAGTAACCTGATTTTTAATTAATTCTCTATCTGTGACAAAGGAAAGTTCAGCAGGAATAATCTCGTCAACAGTAGGTTCACGAAGCGGTTCACTAGAATCCCTATTTCTAGCGGAAGATCTATGTGAGGAAGAAGCCCTAGATCTAGAAGACGATGGAGGAGTAGAACTGGGTTGAGAAGATTTAACAGCCCAGCCCGCTAGTGATATTGTCCGCTCTGGGCCTAGGCCCTCACGGGTTTTAAAACGCGTCACTAGGGTCTAAGGCTTGTTAATTTATATACCCAGCATCCCTCTTATGTTTTGCCGATGTGGGACTCTGCCTAAGAGGGATGCTGGTATATAAATTAACAAGCCTTAGATCCTAGTGACGCGTTTTAAACCCGTGAGGGCCTAGGCCCAAAGCGGACAATATCACTAGCGGGCTCGGCTGTTAAAGATGGTATCAGAGCCACTCTTGTGTCAGCCATGCCGATGGTGGGTCAGAGTTCAACTGAGTTTAGGCAAATCCCGGTTAGGCGGGGCAAACCTCAGTGCTGAGTCTAGGCAAATCCCATGCGGTGGGGCAAACCTCAGCGAGGACGCTGAGTCCATAAGAGGGGGTGTATGTAACACCCCTGACTTTAGGCAGAGTCCCACATCGGCAAAACATAAGAGGGATGCTGAGTATATAAATTAACAAGCCTTAGACCCTAGTGGCGCGTTTTAGACCCGTGAGGGCCTAGGCCCAAAGCGGACAATATCACTAGCGGGCTGGGCTGTTAAAGAAGAAGAACCACGTACATAAATTGACCCTAAACTACGCAACCTACCACCTCTCCTACTTCTGGTAGGAGCAGAAGAAAGGGGAAGTTCGTCTACTATGAGAACTTTTCGAGGATCGGGATTTGGAGAAGACATAGTTGTATGAAGAAGTAGTACGTACTAAAGAACAAGTGTAAGTTGTGAATAAAGAACACTGAAGAAAGTTTTTCGTGAAAGCAAAGGCAAAGGATGTATTTATATGCAGAAGCAACCGTCATATAAAAAAGGTAATGATGGAAACGTCATTATGAAAACTGTCACTTCGTGACAGATGCTCCGCAAAAAAGCCCTAAAACCCGCTGAAGAGTTGCAGAGCCAATCAATGAATGACACGTGTCACGTGCATTAAATGGAAGTAACATACGACGCATTGGTTCAGAAGAAGATACAATGGTACATGAGAAACGGCTGCAAAAATTCCCTCCTTAAATGAGATCCACTTCCCAAATATTCAATTGCTGAATAATTGGTAAGTGGATGGACTATCTGTATCGGAGAAAATGAATATTACATGTGGAATTAATTATGTGGCTGACATGGCAAGACACGTGGATCACTAGAAAAACGTCAGCTAGAGAAGATCATTAAAAAAGACGTGAGTCTTAATAGATACGAGCAAAACACCCCACGAGAAGAGAAGAAACAGATGCGCGAGTCTCTTTAGCGATTTGAAGAGGCACCGGTGGAATGAACCAAGATAGTAAAAAGGGCAGATTCATTGGTCTTCAAGTAATGAGCATGGATGATTACAAACGTTGCAGAATCTTCACGAAATAGTTACGATTACCAATTATAACGTTTCATTAATGTCATTAATGCTCATAATGACTCAGTCATAAAAGGGAAAAGACGTTGTACTTGAAGATTACTATATAAGGGAAAAAATGTCATATGTAGGGACACGTTCTCATTATTATTGGAATATAATTACTTTCTTTTGCTTTCTACTGAATACTTTGCTGTTTCATATTCTAATTTCCTTTCTTATTGCGAGAATATTGATTTTCTTGATTATCAGTAGCCCGAGTACTTCTAAAAATAGGCTTTGACCGAAATTTCTATTTTTTGGTTAAACAACAGTGTGATATACATATCTTTTTTATTTCTTTTCATGTTTCATCTGTTACTTCGAATTTTTAATTCAAACCACCTCAAAGCTCCGCCAAATCATCCGAAGATTGAGATTCTAACTCCTTAAGACAATAATAATTTATAATCTCTCTCGAAATTTGTCTTCGTTTTAATTCCTAGTAATAATAATAATAATTTATACTATGATATTCCTAAAAGCAACACAAAAAAGAGAGATTTTCATATTACACCAACTATAACAAAGCTCAAACTATTTATCAACCTTTTCTTAACATCTAACTTGCACAATGTACAGACTTCTTATGTAGTTGTAGCGAAAAAATAGAAATTAGTTTGTACAACTATAAATTTTTTTTAGATAAAACTGACTATAAAGTTTCTGAATAGATACTATCATCTTAATCTTAGGGGAGATTGAGCCTTTTCATCACTAATCAGCCTGGCAGTTGAACCATAATAGACCATATAGTAAAACCTCTAGGTATTGTCTTTTTTGCTTTTAGGCATCTGGTATCCAAAATCTACTGATCCGACTAAGCACAACGTGTTTCAAGCGGTGGCATTAAGTGGTAAGAGCATCAGGAAGATTTGTGGGTGCCCCTAGTATCTTACCACCAACATCAGGGAAGCATTCAACTCCAGGCAGAGTTGTGACATCTCCATTCTTGCTGACCTGAATTGGATATTGCATCAAATGCCCCTTCATCTTCTTGTACTCATCCCCTGAAAATGCCTTCCAATTGTATCTCGCTATCTCATTAACGCGTCTAACGCATTCCACTGTCTGTGGCTCCGTGAAGGTATTCTCTACCACTCCAAGATGCTCAGCCCAGAGAGACATCCGATAACCATAGACCTGAATGCAAAAAGAACCATCGAATTTCACTTATATGCACTAACCATGTAATAACTTGATATAGAAGGTTACTAATTCATGCAGAAAAAGGTTAAATTGTATTTTCAAACCTGGCCATGGGGATGACTATCTTTTTTGGCCCATGTATAATTTGGTTGATAAGCTCCCATAGCAATTTCTGTATCCCTAGAACCACTCAAAGATCTTTGGTTGATATTTGCAGAACCCATCAACACATACTCATCATCTACTATCATTCCTTTTGAGTGTACATATATCATAAATCTCCCAAACTTCTGAGCCAATCCCTGTGACACAGATTTCTCACTTTTACCCTTTGCTACCTCGCGCTTCCCCAGGCAGTAGAAGTTCAAGTAATCCTGAGGATGAAAATACTGAGAAACCCCTGCCTTATCTAAAGCCTCTGCCACTATTTTGTACATCATAGCCATTGTTTGGCTCTGCCATATATAATTGCAATACATACAAGATTAATAGTGAGGCATATGAACAATCAGTTCAAAAAAGCAGGCATTAAATAAGTAGAGCTGCTTCGAACCTGCCAGAAGAGAATTTCTTGGACTGGTTTACTGCTTGGGACACCTTCAGGCCACATCGGAACCACAATGTATGCTGCAAAAGGTTCATTTGCTGCTATTTTTCTGGCAATTTTCAGAGCTATTTCCATAGGGACTAGGTTATTAGCTCCTGTTATACAGATATAGTACTAGTATGTTATATATATTGACATTCAAGTAAGCTATGAATTTCGAAGATTCTAAAAGCCATTCATTTGCATCTTAACTCTTAACAAGAGCTTCTCTTCTTCAATCATACGCAAATGTTCTATGCTTCTCTCCTCGAGATAAATCAAAATGATCATTCAGATGCAGTTGAAATGGTAAATTATGGATGATATTACGGATAAAGTTTGAATTTATTGTTAAGAGCTGTTAGTTTTGGATCTCCTGGTAATCATTTGTATAACATCTTGAATTTATGCTAAAAGTTTTAAAGAATAAAAGTTGAAATTGAGTTAAGAACATTTGCATATATACCTGAATTTCGGTGCGATGGCCAGCTATATGCAGAACCAAGAAAATACTGATTCTCTACGTAAACAAAGTGCTGGGCTGATCGAATTGCTTTCACATAAGCCAAATGTATGCTTCTTTCTATCTTCAAATTTTTTCCACTGACAAGATTCTGCAAATGGACATAGCTAATTTGACATGTTCCATTTTCACTTTCTGAAACTAGTACATAATATATACAACTAAGGTTTTCAAAAAGCATTAATATTATACCTGAGCTTCAGCTTCCTTAATGTCTTTTGGAAATCCTTTTACTGATCCGGAATCAATTGATCGAAATACCTGGAAAGAGTGCACAACAAATGATTAGAATGAACTTCCAATGATTGACGAATAATCAAATGGAGAAATATGTCTAATATACTTGCACATGCCAACTCTCTGGATCTTGTTCACTTGTGACACGGACCACACGGTCACCATCTGGCCCAGCTGAAGGCATGCGAATTGCTGCTATTCGATCTAATTTAAGCAATGTATCAGATCCATGTTTAACTTTCCTTAGTTTGAGCCATTTAATGGCCTTGTTAAATCTTTGCTCAAAGTTTGTCAAAACATCATAAGCAGCAGGACCGTCAATTTTACAGTGTAGATCATGCCATGGTTCTCTTGGGCCACCTGAAGTAGTCTGTATGTATCATAAGAGATTATATCTACCAATTATTAGCTACCAGAAATGTCTCAATGGAAAATACAAAAACTACTGTTGGTAACTCTTCCATTTAAAATCCATTCTATCTCATGAAAAGAAAAGGTACTTTTACTTGTTTTCACCTGCATTCGAAATAATAACATGCAAAAATCCAAGCTATAAATCGATCAAATAGCAAATGGAGTGTATCTTTCATGTGAATAAGAATTAAGCTCAAGCAATTGATGGACTAAAGTATGGAGAAAAGGTTATACTTATAGAAAACTTTCTGGTTCCTGACGAAGTTTAACATCTCTTATAAAACATTATACAAAAAACTTCAAAAGATCCAGATTAACAGCTTACTGTGAATGTAGGATTATGAACATCATTTCCAAAGACAGTATCGAGATCGCTAAACAGTCTATGCTCCGGAGTGTCATAGCGACCATCACATAAATCCAGGCCACCAATAAAAGCAGTGATTTTCCGTTCATTCCCAGGTGCTTCTGTGTCAACAAGCACACATTTCTGATGATGTGTAAAAAGGTTTCCAACAATCTGCAGAAGAAATTTATTCTTGATTTGATTCAATTCTTCTTGAAGATACTAAAACTACTTGCTTGTTCTAGATTTACAACTTCTCCAAATATCAAAATCATCTTGCTGTTAGAATTTATCCGTCAAATACTTTCCCCTCCACCTGCCCTTAAGGGAAATTAAAGAAAGTATATATACCTGTCTCTTCAAAACACTAAGCTTACTGCTGGCGGAACGAGGACAAAGCACACAGTGTACACTTGAGTGTTTAAAAAACTTTCTCGTCTCTTCATCATGAGTCTGCATTACACCTTCCTGCATTCGAGACAATAAAACAGCTATATGTTCCATATATCTAGAAAAAAGACTCCAAAATGGATTGCCGTGAGATATTCAGCCTGAGGCTCAACATTGATCCTGAAATATTACCGTTTTGAGGAATAAATCATCATTTGAAGTTTTATCATCCCAAATGAGCAAAATGACGCGAACTCCTTCTTGTGACTTGTACTTGAGCAAATCTCCAAGTGTTCGTTCCCCTGCAGAAGGCAACGGCCTTGTAGGTTCTCTTACTAGTCGTATAGGATGATATACGGACCAACCAACAACATATATTAAATACTTAGCCTCCAACATGGCATGACAAATGTCTTCCCAACATTTGTTATGATTAAAAACTTTCCCATCATCTAGCAAAATTTCAGGAAGTGTTGCATCAGGTACATGAGCATCCTGATAAAGAGTAACATTCCCTCCTTTTCGCAGTGGAAAATAAGTATGCGGTACTCCTACTCTATTGGCTTCACCTCCAACACCATTTCTATATATAGGGTTCTCTGCCACTGGCTTGTATTGGATTGACAGATGCAGTTGAGCACCGGTTTTCAATGGATCCCCAGAAGATCCAAGAATAGGGAACCAACCACTTATTTCTTTACCAACATGAATTTTATCAGCAGGAATTTCCACCTTTCCAATCAGTTCAGCACCTACCCCATCATTGTCCTTGACAAAAAATTCTACTTTGTCAACTTTGTGAGCGACTGGTATGCGTACATGCTCATTCCATGTTGGGTTTTCATCGTTATGAATCACTGTTGTTCGAGCTACTTTTGCCCCGCCTATACATACAGACACATAGGGGTCACTAGTATCTATTATTTTACGAGCTACTGATTTATTCCCTGTATCCTTGCTCTTAACCTTTCGCGTAGTCCCAAAAGGACTAAACTTAGAACAACATGTCATGTCCATGTTTGGAAGTGACTTTGCTTCTATAACCCGCAAGTCCAGTTCTCCGTGCAGAAGTACTGAACCTCCAGGTAAATGTTTTCCAGCCATATTTTGCAGCTAATCAGTAACTCAATGCCTTATTTTCCTTCCTTGTGTATTTGCATGTATAATGGAATCATAAATATCTAATGCCAACCTCAATGTGACATTGTTTTGCCAAAAATGGCAACTGATAAGGATTGTATGCGCTCCCTCACATGAATTAAGGCATGTGGCAACAAGTCTGCAGGAAGTGTTATACCAAATACATGTCTTTGTCTAGCAAGCATATATAGAGATGGTCAATTATGCTTCATTGCAATTCCTTCACTGAAGCATATCCAACGGCGTGGAACTGATCCCAACTGGAAAAAGGGAAAAAAAGAAGAGAAAATAAAGTGAACACAGATAACAAATTGCAACCATTTGTTCAATTATTTCATACATGTCTTTGTTGGATCTAGAATGGTTCTATTTGTGAACATGTCAATCAATAAACAACCAGAAATTAATTATTAAAAAGAATCTGTTTTTCCTCAACACACTTAATTTCCACATTTTCGAACACCTTTCTGTTTCATATTGAGTCCTAAGAGTTGCGGCTCACTTGGTGTACAATCACTAATCTCCTTCTATTTTTGTGAACCCATGGAATTGTTCCCAGCTCAAAGGTACCTCCTTAGAGTTTAACCTTTACAAAAAGACAAAATAATGTGCGCGCACACGCGTTACCATATTAAATTTAATCGCCACGTCGAGACATGCAAGAAAGAAATTAAAAGATCACAAATCCACCATTTTCGCGAGTAAAAACAACATGTATATCAGATCTCTACCCCTTTTTCAGGTTTGTAACAAATACTAACAGAAAATTGTAACGAATGCCAAAAGAAAGACATTGATAACAAGAATTTACATAATCTGTTTATTTGCATGTATATAGGACACACATTATATATAGATCATTAACATATTTTGCATGATCTGTTTGAGGTGGGGGTAGGGGGAAGAAGAGTGTTAATTTACCTTAATTAATAATGATGAGAAGAAGGGTAAAAGAGAAATGAAAGGATCCAAGGAGACGTTTTGAGTTTTGTTTGTTTCAGTAAAGAGAGTCAGCCATGAGAGTCCGGATTTGGCGGGAAATAAGGAAATATAAACAGTTATTGTTGGGGTTTGTTTATACAGAGGCTAATTATACGCTCTGCCGTTCTTATTTCCCCTCCTTATCTGTCTTTTATTCGTCTGAAAACAACAATTGTTGAAGTAAAAGTAAAATTGGGGTACAACTATTTCAAAATTCTTGGCAGGATTTAGCAATCACTCGCATACACAAATGAAGATTGAGCTTATTTTTTGTTTTTATGTTTTTTTTTGTCGTGCTACTAAATTGTTTATTGTAGTGTCATTGAGATGCTCTCTTTGTTCAATTTCTGATCGACAAGAGAAGGCATGTCATTGATATGTATATTTGTGAAAGACACAAATTTATTAGTACAATCATTAAAGTCGCGTCGACTATAGATGTATACGGTCGAAATCAGGTATGGCCGATTTCCCAAGCTCGAGGGGTCATCTTAAGCCCGAGTTCAGGCAAGGTCGAGTTCGAGCCCGATGGATCAGACTCAAGCTCGAAGATAGGATGCAATGCCCGAAGATCGAAGTACGATGAGTACCTAAGCCAAGTATGCTCGACTCCGGAATAATGCCGTTATGGATTTCTAACAGAATGAGCGAGATTCCTGCCACGTCCCCAAAATTATGGCGCAAATCCCGGAATAGAATTGTACGATTCCGTACTAGGCAGTTAGACAACTGTCCCAATAAGATTCCTTACTGTAAATGAAAATGTACCTTATTTAGGGTTTCCCTACTATATAAAGGGGACCCGAATCATTTGTAAAGATCATCTAATCATTGGCAAAGAATATACTATCTTACTTTTCTGGCTCATTGTTCATCAGACTTGTCTTTTTTCTTTACTATTCTTACTTTATTGTTCTTGGTCCATCTCGAGGTCACTAAGCTCGAGGCCGATACTGTTTGGTAGCACTGGTTTGATTCATCCGTTTCTTTCATCTTTACTTCATATTCCTTGATTATTAATTGGTATTGAACTAATCACATATCTTTAAAACCACAAACCAAATTTAATTGTTACTCGTATTTTCGAGTAAACAATTTAGCGCCCACCGTAGGGCTAAAGATAATAGTGATTATTTTATTACTGATTCTCATTACACACGTTATTTTGCACTTTTTCTTGTCAAGAATTTTTGATTCTCGGGATTAAACATGTCGAACTCGCAAAATACACCTATTCATAACAGCGAAGGTCTTGGATTTCATGGAGAAAACGACAATGTAGGGGTCGGTGTACCACCGATAAACCCAGGGGAAATACCAAATGTGGAACCAGTTGATATTAGTTCGCACATTGCTCTAAATACAGATCTAGGCACAGATGCCGGAGGGAGTGTATGTAGGGAGGCCCGATCTGGGGGCCAAGGAACACCAGGTATAGCAGATGGGGGAGTCAGCCTCTAAGTGATATTCGAGATGCTGCAAGCTCAGCAAATCGCCATCGCTCAACTTTAGAGTCAGAACAAAACTCCGAGTATAGCTGAACCGGAAAACCCTCGACGTGTTTAACCGGCGCTAGAAAGGTCAAATGAAAATGGATTGGGGACTGACCCCACTATTATGAAAATGCTCGAAGAGCTCACCAGGAGGATCGAGTTCGGGGAAAAGAAGATTGAAGACAACGACAAGAAGGTGGAAACTTATAACTCCCGTGTTGACCAGATACCGGGGGCACCTGCAGTCTTGAAGGGTTTAGATGCCAAAAAGTTCATACAAAAACCATTCCCTCAAAGCGCGGCTCCGATGCCTATTCCTAAAAAGTTTCGCATGCCCGATATACCCAAATATAACGGGAAAACCGACCCTAATGAGCATATTACCTCGTATACTTGTGGGATTAAAGGAAACGGCCTGAATGATGATGAGATCGAGTCCGTGTTGTTGAAAAAATTTGGGGAAACTCTGTCGAAAGGAGCCATGATTTGGTATCATAATTTGCCTCCTAACTCTATTGATTCGTTTGCTATGTTAGCAGACGCCTTCGTAAGAGCACACGCCGGGGCCATAAAGGTGGCAACGAGGAAATCGGATGTATTCATGATAAAACAAAGGAACTGCGAAATGTTGAGGGAGTTTGTGTCCAGGTTTCAGATGGAGCGAATGGAATTACCACAGATCTCACATGACTAGGCATTACAAGCTTTTATGCAGGGTTTGAATGAAAGGAGTTCGATTGCGTCCCGACAATTAAAGAAGAATCTGATCGAGTATCCAACTGTGACGTGGTCGGATGTACATAACCGTTACTAATCGAAGATTAGGGTTGAGGACGACCAGTTGGGAGCCCCCTCGGGTTCAGTTCATCCTAACAGATCGACAGCTAAGCCCCCGAGGGATACAGACAGGGAATCGATGTTAAACAAAGTACGGTATCAGCCGTATGTCGATCGGAGAAACAATGGTTTCGGCCGAAACGCCCCTCAAAATGATCGGAGAAATGATCAAGGTCAAAACTCTCGGGGACTCATGAGAAAGAGTGGGTACGATAAACACACCGACCCTTCGGAGGCACCTCGATTGTCGGAATATAATTTCAGTGTAGACGCATCAGGGATTGTATCAGCTATTGGAAGAATCAAATATACCAAATGGCCAAGCCTATCCAAACCGATCCTTCTCAGAGGAATCCAAACTTGATGTGTAAGTATCATGGCACACACGGCCATAGGACCGAAGATTGCAGGCAGCTAAGGGAGGAGGTGGCTCGGTTTTTCAACGAAGGTCACCTTCGAGAATTTCTCAGTGATCGAGCTAAAAACCACTTTAGGGAGAGAGATGCAAGGAAAAATGAGTAGGAAGAACCACAACATGTAATCCACATGATCGTTGGCAGCGTCGATGTCCCGCAAAGACCTGTGTTCAAACGCACCAAGGTATCAATCACCAGAGAACACGGACTCGAAGCTATGTGCCCGAGGACGCTTATCATTCTATGACGAAGAAGCAGAAGGCATATCTCAGCCGCACAATGACGCCCTGGTAATTTCTATCCTTTTAAATAAAATTCAAGTTAAACGTGTTCTAGTGGATCCAGGTAGCTCAGCGAGCATAATCAGATCGAGGGTCGTAGAACAGCTTGGCCTACAGGATCAGATTGTACCTGCATCCCGGGTCCTAAATGGATTTAACATGGCAAGTGAAACAACAAAAGGGGAGATAATCCTACCAGTCAACGTATTCGGGACCATACAAGATACAAAATTCTATGTCAACGAAGGAGACATGAGGTATAATGACCTCCTAGGGAGACCATGGATACACAACATGAGGGCGGTATCTTCATCTCTTCATCAGATGATGAAGTTCCCAACGAAGGATGGTGTGAAAACAATCTATGGAGAGCAACATGCTGCAAAGGAAATGTTTGCAGTCGATGAATTGACACCGACACCAGAGTCTTCGACCTCGGAGAAATCAAGCATCAAAGGTAAGCAGGCGGCCAAATAGCAATCACCGCCCCCAGCCTCGACGGAATCGGAGCAATAGGTAATCGAAGACGAAGAAGAGGATTTCCTTACTCCTCGAACCTTCGTCATTCCCGAAGAGTCCGGTGCAACCAAATAAACTGTCGAGGAGCTGGAGCAGGTCATACTGATCGAATATATGCCCGAGAGAAAGGTATACTTGGGAACGGGATTAATCCCCGAGCTCAAGAAAAAACTCATTCAATTTCTTATTGATAATATGGATTGCTTTGCTTGGTCCCATTTAGATATGACAGGGATTCCATCGGAAATCACAACACACCGGCTAAGCATCGACCCCGGGAATTAAACCGGTAAAGCAAAAGGAGGCCCCAGTCCCAGGTAAAACATGCATTCATAAAAGACGAGGTAACCAAACTCCTTATAATAGGGTCTATTCGGGAGGTAAAGTACCCTGGATGGTTAGCCAACTTAGTTGTAGTTCCTAAAAAAAGAAATAAACTTAGAATGCGCGTAGATTACAAGGATTTAAACAAAGCATGTCCGAAATATTCTTTTCCACTGCCCAACATTGATCGTATGATCGATGCCACGGCCGGCCACGAGATCCTAACTTTTCTCGACGCCTACTCCGGGTACAATCAAATTCAGATGAACCCGGAGGATCAGGAAAAGACTTCGTTTATCACTAAATTTGGAACTTATTGTTACAACGTAATGCCCTTCGAGCTAAAAAATGCAGGAGCTACGTTCTAACGCCTAGTTAACAAAATGTTCGAAGAACAGATAGGTAAAATAATGGAAGTTTACGTGGATGATATGTTGGTTAAGTCCCTGTGTGTAGAGGACCATTTAACTCATTTGCAGGAAACGTTCAAAATTTTGAGAAAATATAATATGAAGCTTAACCCGGAAAAGTGTGCCTTCGGAGTCGGCTCGGGTAAGTTCCTTGGCTTTATGGTGTTGAATCGGGGCATCAAAATTAACCCTGATAAAATCAAGGCCATCGAGGATATCAAGGTCGTGGACAGTGTGAAGGCCGTGCAAAGGCTAACAGGACGAATAACTGCCTTGGGTCGGTTCATTTTGAGGTCATCAGATCAGAGGCATAGGTTCTTTTCTTTGCTAAAAAAGAAAAAGGATTTCGCATGGACCCCAGATTTCCAGCAAGCCTTGGAAGAATTGAAGCATTACTTATCGAGCTCGCATTTGCTTCACACCCCGAAGGTAGATCAAAAACTTTACTTATACTTAGCAGTATCCGAGATAGCGGTAAGTGGGGTACTGGTTCGAGAAGAGTAAGGTACGCAATTTCCTGTTTATTATGTAAGCCGAACTCTAGGAGATGCTGAAACTAGATACCCTCACTTAGAAAAATTAGCACTGACATTGATAAGCGCATCTAGTAAGC